GACAGGCTTACGATTGCGTCTAGCATGATACAGCCTGTCGCCTCTGAGTGTTGACTTCAATTTTCACTTTTATATATATATATATATATATATATATACCCAAGTATAAGATTGGTGTATACGGAATAAATTTCTATAACCAAAAAATAATATTCTTAATAGCGTAGAGCAAATATAATTTATTAAAAAATTAATTATAACATAAACATATTATAAAATCACTACAAAAATAGCCATTTTGTTTCATACACTTCTGGATCAACACCATCACTTGATAAGGCACCAGAAGTGTTGAAAAAAATGGCTATTTTTGTAGTGATTTTATAACATATTTATGTGATAATTTTCGAATAATGATATATATATATATATATATATATATATATATATATATATATATATATATATATATATATATATATATATATATATATACATATGGCGCGATGGGTAAATTGTCGTCATTTTATATTTTTAATTTCGTGTAGGCGTGTTGTTTGTTTTTTAATTCATCGACTTCACAGTATTGTAGGGTCAGTTGGGCACCGTCTGTGAGAGAAAGAGCACCATGACGCGACTCACGCCGCCAGAAATTTGGAAACGACATGCTGTATTGATTCGCATCACACCAGAAGCTCAAATACAAACATTTCAGGGTATTTGGGTATCAGTCTGAGGAGAGTGCAGAGAATTCGGAAAGAGTTGGATGAGTCTATTGGTGGGTGAACCAATGTTTCAACATGATGTGGCTGTAAGCAGTGTGTGTGTGCGCGCTCAAATACACTAAACGGATGGATGCTCCCATGAAATATTAGAAACGCGATAACCTTTTACCCTCTAATCTAACTGAAATTCCTTATCGCTAGAATTTACTTGTCTCCATGAGTTGCGCGGATATATTTGTCCATGTATATAGGTGTGTGTGTAACATCTTGCGTGTGTTTTTTGTGCGTCTTTCTTTGTGCGTATGATTGTGTATACAGACATATAAAGCTATATACATAGACAGATATAGCACTGGTATCGTGAATGATATCATCTTTCTTCGTTGTTTCATTCCATTGTTCTTATCCTATTAAAATCGGCGTAGGAAATATTTCAAGCTTTTCTTCGTATATAAGTCGAGTTTTAAAGATCAAATTTTTTTTTAAAAATCGGTGGTCGACCTTTACCTGCATAATATCAGATTATCCAAATAGCTATGTCCGAAATCTGATATCTATAGATTGAATGATATTTTCGCTATTCTAAAATGCCTAAATGATATAAATACATTCTCATTTGTATTGGTACAGTTTCAAAGGTTGTTACGATTTGCGTTGTCATAGTGCGATTAAACTAACATAGATACATACTAACCTGTCCCTCAAAAATTTGCATCTACCTACGGAGCATATATATATATATATAATATATAAACAAAAACATTTCGATTTCATTTGAAAAAGTCGGAAGACGAAACGCGGAGGCAAAATCTAAGATTTTTTTCCAATTGTCATTTGATACCAATCTGTCTTGTCCACAGAATTCATCTGGGAATTTAACTATATATATATATATATATATATATATATACACACACACACACACACAATTCATCAAGTCTAGAAGAATCATCAACAAAATGCAGAAAGTTCTGAAAAGCTGTTTCGCCTTATTTAGGACTCCTCAGCAGTTCGCATCCACCACCGAGAATCGAACCCGGATAGTAAGGATACGGCGCAAGCGATATGCCAACTGTACCAACGGGCCTCGGCGCCGAATAGGTGACAGACTAGACTTGATATAGCGCTGCTCTCACTTTCCGTGCTGTAACTCATCCGAGAATACCTTTCCCATAAGACTGTGCCCCCCCACCCACACACTAGCGACGTTTTCTTGTCCCCAGCCGCTCCCTCTTAGAGCATTAGAAGCTGGTTCAAGCACTGATATAGAAACACTATCGCTATATCGAGTCTAGTTTATCAACTCTTCTTCACCGTGTCCAGCTTCGATTTTCGGTAATGGATGCGCTCTGCTGATGAGTCCCAAATAAGACGAAACGGCTGTCCAGTGCTTTCTACATTCTGTTGAGGATTCTTCTAGATTCGATGAATTAAATGGATTTCTATTCAAATACCCACTCAATAATTTCAGTGTTTATATATATATATATATATATATATATATATATATATATATATATATATATATATATATATATGAAAAATATATAGAAAATAGGAAAGAACTCGTTAGGTAAATAATCCAAAGTTCTTTAGTATTTATGTTATTATTTTTAAAAAATAGTGCTCGATACAAAAGTAGAGAATAAATATAATTATTTATTTCAAAATATGATTCCAACACGCTACATAAGAGTTCCCAGGTTTCAAAACAAGAGCCAAAACCTTCAATATAACGGCTAGAGCAATTGTTTAAAGAACAGGGGGCGGGGCGGGTAAGGTGTAAATATTTTGTATCAATATCTCAGTTACATTCATAGATGTCAAGTCAGGGTAAGGTTGGGGTGTCTAAATTGAAAGTGAAAGATGACATCGTCTAGTCTAGTTAGGTGTCTATGGAGATTTATTTATTTTTTTATTTTATTTTTTTCTGAAGGGGTTTTGTGTATATAAAAACTGTCGTAAGTTGCTAACATTTGTTTTTTGACGACTTCATAAAGGGTTATATATATATATATATATATATATATATATATATATATATATATACTAACGTTTTCTGTAAAATACAAATGCACATTGATTTTAAGCAAGAAGAATTTTCTTTTAGAAATATAAAGAAATACACAACCGCAGTCAATCAGAACAAGAAAATTGAATGAATTATCTCTATCTATAAAAGGCAGGATGTGTGTATGTGTGTGTGTGTGTGTTTGTGTGTGTGTGTGTAACAAATGCATGAGCGCAATTTTTGATGGATTTGCCCCAAAATTTCCATGCACATGCTCCAAGTTAGCGGAAAGGCCAAGACAGACTTTGCATTCCCCAACTCCCATCGATAGTGGAAATAATCGATTTTTTCATGCTTCTACGGCATTTTTCATGTAGTTTGCGGCCATTTTCTACTGGCCAGAGTGAGAGCCTTTAGCTGGCTGCCACTAATAGGCAGGAAGATTCTATTGGCCAGCGTGAGAGCCAACGGCTGACTGACATGAATGTTAACTAGCATGCTAGCATGCAAAAAAAAATCGATAGCTGCATTCGTCACAAGTGGGAAAAATTTAAATCTCCATGGCACTTTACTCCAATTGGCTCATTCGCTTGCTTAAACTCAACGTTGATTCTGATTCTGCAGAACTGGGTTGGGTGTGAAAAAGTATTTGTTGTTAACATTCTTTTTTCATTTGGTTTTTCCAGTTACGAGTCCTTTTTTAAAGCTGATCGTTTTGTGTTCATTTTGTTTAGTTCTTTTTTCGTAATAGATTTAATGTTTAGTATCGAGCTTAGAAAAAAATTCGCAATGTGAGATAGGCAAGAAATAAGGCATGTAGCAACATCAGCACGACAAAGGGCACTCCTTTAAAGGCAAGGAAGGGCAAAAATATTTTAAGTCAAGTGATAGCGATTGCTGTATGAGTCGTATGATTTTTGAATCAAACACCGGCAACACCAGGCCATACTGCTAGTCTACTATAAAAGAATGTCAAAGATCTAACCTTATCATTAACAATAACAACATACCTGTCAGATATAAATGACAGAGAATCAATATTATTTATGAATTGACATGCCCGCCAGGGAATTGCCGTCATGATCAAACCAAACTCATGAATAATTATGTTGGACATATCACCTCATGCCTATCGACAAGACTCACGTTACACCTCGCTGACCATAGCACAATTAGGATACATTTAAACATACACGGAAACCTACCAAACTCTATCCTCAATATACTTGTAATAAATGCAAAGGATGATAGCCTCGTTCACATGTAAAAATGACTAAAAATAATGGAAGCACTAATAATAAAAAAGAAAAAGCCAACACTCAGTAATATCAACTATGAACACGGCCACAATGTACTGACCGTGTTTGGAAAATAAAACATTCCTATACGTCTAGATACATGTATAAAAAAAACATACATTCAGTTAAAAATTTAAAAAAAATAAAAATCATCCTAGGTAATGGCTAAAAGAATAGCCGAAAGCACTCGGATATGCAGAAAATTTGGACAATATTTACACTGTTTATGTCCAGAAAAGTAAAATTATATGAATACAAGAAAAATTAAATAAAAATCTTAATCACAGTATCTTGTCAGTCGTCTTCAACGAAACTTGTATAAAAGAGGGCTTTCTGCCTAAATACACAATTTTAAGAGCTGTGATACAGCAAAACAGTCTGTCTGTGGATGACTATATATATATGCTCCCGAAAAATCCGGTTGAGGTCTCTTGAGAAAATGGTCATTTTAAAAACAGCGACTAACTACTGCTATTAACGCATTGCTCTTCAACTGAATTGAGCTCTCCGGGCTACTGGCGTATTTCGTATAGAAAACGTTAAAATGTCCCTTTCTCTCTGCCGTGAGACGATAGCCTAGGGTTTCTGACTGATGCCAAATCGGTCGGGTTTCAATCCCGTCTTGAAGCAATCTAACGTGTAGCTACACTGAAGAGCTGTGATACAGCGAAACAGTCTCTCTGTAGGTGACAAGATATATATAACTTGACTGGAATGAGCGATAACAGCTACTGGACTGGACAGAATGGTAACAGTTACTGGACTGGAAAGAGAGATAACAGCTACTGGACTGGAAAGAGCGATAACAGCTACTGGATTGGAAAGAGGGATAAGAACTACTAGACTGGTAAGAGATAACATCTACTGAACTCGAAAGTAAGATTATAGTTACTGGATTGGAAAGAGAGATAACATCTACTGGACTCGAAAGAACGATAACAGCTACTGGACTCGAAAGCAAGATAACAGCTTCTGGACTTGAAGGAGAGGTAGCTGTTACTGGACTTGAAAGAGAGATAACAGCTACTAGACTGGAAAGTGAGATAACGAAGACTGGAAAGAGCGATAACTACTACTGAACTGGAAAGAGAGATAATAGCCACTGAACTGGAAAGTGAGATAAGAGCTACTGGACTGTAAAGCCAAGTAACATTTACTGTACTGGAAAGAGAGATAACAGCTACTGGACTGGAAAGAGCGATAATAGCTTCCAGACTGAAAGGAGAGCTAACATCTGGTGGACTAGAAAGAGAGATAAGAGCTGCTGGACTGGAAAGACGATAACAACTGATAGACTGGAAAGAGAGACAACAGTTACTTGTCTGGAAAGAGAGATAATATATACTGGACTGGAAAGCCAGATAACTGCTACTGGACTCGAAAGCAAAATCACATCAGCTGGACTGGAAAGAGATAAGACTTACCTATATAGAAAGAGAGGTAACATCTACTCGAATAGAAAGTGAGATAACTACTAATGGACTGGAAAAATAAATAACAGCTACTGGATTTGTGAAATCAATTTTCCTAAAAATCCTTTAAAAAGAAAAAATTTAAATGTCAACCGGCAGTTCTATTGGCTGCTCGGTAAACAAATACCGAATGTTTCCTTATAAAGAAATGGCTCATCTTTCTGTTACCATTACCACTCTGTGATATGAAGATGTTTAGATTGTAGTGTTTTGGGTTGCAAACACGCGGGTTTCAGTCGCACAAAATAATAGGGAAAAGGCTGTATGATTGGAGTTCTCTCTTGCATTCGTTTGAAATGATTGTGATTCAACTCTGTTGAAGTGTCATGGAGTCTCTTGATTGTAAGATATTTTTATAAGCTTTAAAGTATGCTACGTTGTTATTGAATTTTAGCCCAAAATGCAATGTCTTCATCAAGCTGTAGACCAATTGACCATGGTTAAGTGTAATTGGCAAAAATGCTCAACAGATATTTTAAAAAACCAATATCGAGTTTTTTCTCAAATCTGGAAACAGAGATAATATATACTATATAAAACCTTTAAAAAGAAAAAAAATTACAGAAAAGTTTTTAGCCAGGAGAAATAAACTAGATCCAATTTCAAAATTTAATTACATATTCCCAACTCAACTTTGGAACTAGTATGGAGTAGGTCCTCCATTTGTTAGTTTCAGTCCTTGTATTCGATTTTTCATGGATTTGATCAAGTTATCAACAATCGTCTGAACCATATTTTGCCACTCCTTGAGCAATGTTTCTTTAAGTGTTGCCACTGACATGATTTTGGTTGCACGCTCTCGAAATTTTCAGTCAAAGTGCTCCCAAACATGCTCTATTGGATTCATGTCAGGACTTTGGGCTACCCATGGCAGTGACTTGATTCCTTCCAGGCCTTTGCTACTTTTCTCATATGACATGGCTCCTCAGCTACTTCAAAAAGGTAGAAATTATTGTCAATCTGATTTGTTTTAAATAGTGCGAGTAGTCTTTTCTCTAATATTTGACCGTATTTTGGACCATTGAACCGCTAATCAACAAGAATCAGCCCAGATTTGCCTCCAAACCAGACAGCGCTCCACACCATTACCACAGTCCCTCCATGTTTCACTGTCGCTTGCAGATATTCAGTCTCATTCTGATTTCTCCAAGCATAAAACTATCTCGAATTCTAATATTGGCAGAATTTACTTTTATCTGACCAAATTACAGACTGTCAAAATTAATAATTTTTGCTAAATGTAAGTCAACTATTGTTCATACTAACACGGTATTGTCTGAAAAAAAGAAGAGACATTATAACACACGCCAAAATTGTAATAATCAAGGATGGCTAAAAACTTATCATAGCCGACTGTAATATCGACTAACCATCTTCAACAACATGGTTGTATCACTCCACCTAACGCTATAAAGAGGTGGGTACTTGAAATGCAGGGACGAACATAAATACCCTGTGAAGGTTCATTTGAGAGTGAATGTTTCGACCTCATTTATCACAACTCTGGCCAACTCTTCATTTTATATACGTTTACACAATCAAAGCTACGTAAGCATGATGTGTTCCTTCGTCAAATAATCAGTTTGCATGGTTTGCTTTCACTCAGTCAAGTACATCACTGACATGTCCTTCGAAAACTTTATCGTATACTCTTGTCACTGCCAAGACGAACACATCACCGAATATATTACAGTACTTTCAAAACTCGTATTGCTTTAGTTTTTTTCTTTTATATATTTTTACTAAGCTTAATTTAATATTAATATCCACTGTGAAATTGTTATGGGGTCCTCCCCTTTTTCATATAAGTGAACTCGACCAGAGTGTTACTTGGACTGCTGCCGTTAAACACCCAGAGTCAGTCAGAATACAGAGAGAGTCAGACTAGAGTAGAAGACTGAGAGTGTGATTGAGTTGGAGGTAGAGTAATAGTGTGAGGTAACCGCTTGTAGAAGTCAGTTACAAGCACGTAGACTCTAAGGAAGTCCTACTTCGAGACTGTATATATCTATATGTTATTGCTACTAACCGGGTTCCTGGATTTACTAACAGTATTACCCTTTGTATTATTGTGTAAATACATTTAATTTCTTATATTTATTTCTTGCGTTTGTCATTCATTGGAGACCGAATTTCATCTCGGAATCCACAACACTACGTATACAGGATCTATTCATCTTCATCCTCTTTGTATTCCATTGGTAAGGAGGAAGTTATAGCCGGAAAGATTGTTCATTGGAGACCGAATTTCATCTCGGAATCCACAACAGAAATGATTAAAATTCTGTACCATTTCCTGATGGACGATCATGGCTTTTTACAACTTCCTGTCATTTGTTAATCGAAGTAACTTTTATCATTGTTTTATTCCTTATTCCACCAATTTCATTAGGTTGGTTATGCGTTTTCTTTCTACCTGATTCTATTTTCTTTGGTGTGTTTTCCTTATACGCCCCTGAAAATTAAGCTTCCTTTTTTCTGATTACAAGTTTCCTCGGCTCTCCTCCCCCACTACGAAGGGGCAAGGAGGTTGGTTAACAACGCTGTAGCATGAAAATAAAAACATACCAAAATACGAATGGCCGCAAAAGCGTCAACAGTCCGTTAACTAGAAGTCATGTCTCAATAAAGTCACTTTGGTAAGGCAACGGGAAAACCATTCCACTATCGATCCATGGAATAATCATTAGCACTGATTATAACGCATCATTTAAAATATATTTCTTCTTTTATCGCTTCTTTTTCTTTCTTTCAGTCTTTCTCTGTCTCCGTATTTATTGCTTGTTTCTTTTTTTTTTATCTTTTTCGATGTCTTTAAGCATTTTGTTCGCGTTCTAATTCTTTATTTTCTATTTAATATATTTTTCTTTTCTTTTTCACAATTTTCTTTTCGCTTTGTCTATTTTTCCCGCTATTTCTTTTATTTTATTTTAATTTCTTTTTCTTAATCTTATTTTTATTTTTTATTCTTATTTTAAATTTATTTTTTATTTTTTTTTTTTATTTTGCTTTATTTCTCACTTAATTTTTTTCTTTTCTGTTCATTTTTCTAAATTTTCTTTTCTCTTTCTTTCTTTTTCTCTTAATTTTATTTTTATTTATTTTTCCCTTGAATTTAGTTTTATTTTCTCATCTTAATCTTATTCTTATTTATTTTCTCATAATTTTAATTTTATTTTAAATTACTTTATTTTTCTTTTCAACTATCTTTTTCTTTTTCGTATTTCTTTTTTTACCTCGTCAATTTCATCATTTCTTAACTCCCGAGCTTTTTGCTCAACTTCCTGGTGCAAACGATCATTTTAATAATTTATATTTCGTTTTTGCTTTATATATAGTTTCGATTCCAACATCAAAGTTCTTTTAGGATAAATAAATACCGAAATCAGACGTCCCTATCGAAATATTTCTGGCACTTGAAAGAAACCAATAAAACACCTACAGTAAAATGGAAATTAATAAGAAAAGCTAGAATATGTAGGTCATTAAATGACCCATGTCCTGTGTGCATACATGAGAAACTATATATTACTGGGTTTATAAAAAATTAAAATTTACTGAATCAAAGAAATGAAATAGTAGCGATTCTTTGCCGACATTGTCAAAAATTTTCTTTAAATAACATTTATTAAAAAAAAGAGAGCTGTAATATACATACATTTGATATTTAATAATTAAATAATTGAAGTAATTATATTACATTTATTTGTTTTAAAATGAAATATAGTCTATTAGTAATTAAAAGTAAAAATAATATTGTAAAATTGAAAGTCCAATACAACGTAATCTAATCCAAACACCCCCTTCTAGAAAAAATCTTTATGTGTACAAGTATAAATTTAACGGATAAAAAAGCCGAAAAAATCAAACGACATGCGTTGAACGGATGTCATAATTCGTTGAAGAATGAACCCCTACAATATCTAGACATAAACCATTTTCGAAAGTAACTCAAATTTGATACAATAGTTGTTAATAAAAATGAACACTCTACGGCCCCTGTCTAAATGATTGGATTTCTCTGTATCCTTGGAAACAAATTGTATGTGCTTTTAAAACTCAGTAAATTTCAAAATAAGTTATTCCAAAATTAGCTTGAAAATGAAACAGAACTAGTGCTTTTAATTTAATTAAATAATTGAATTTGAAATTCTTAGTTTCTGCTTTTGAAACATGATAATTCCTGTGTCGCGAAGGAACCATATTTTTAAATCAGTTAATTTCAACTAAACCCAAACATATTAATCTTTTATATCGCAAACAAATACATTCTAATTATAAAAAAGACGGAAATATCCTAAAAAAATAATAAATACTCATATATTTACCACAGATCCTAGTAAAAAAATGAAATCAGGTATGTACTACACTAAATAGAATATATCCGATTTAATCATTCGTAATCACTCCGCCCCACCAACTAACGTTTTTCAGAAAACCAACATTGTATATAAATTTAAATGTCCCTTGCGAGATTGTATATCCAACAGAAAAAATATTTTGTTGGCCACACTACGATTACATTGTCTCGGAGTCTGAGTTTTCAATTGAATGATGCGTCTAACATTTCCAAACATTGACAAAAATATGCCTGTCCACATTCACAATTTAGGAAATTCTCGTCGAAAATACATCTATACATTTTCATGGAAATAATAAAAAATAAACTAAAAATCCTTAAAAATTGAAACCAACCCTTAATAAAAATTAATTATGAATGCTGCACAAACGTTTTAACATGTTGCGAACATGTTAAAGCATTTGTGCAGTATTCAGTAGTTTGAAATATCTAGGTTTGTACTAATAATTTTAATATTTAGCCTCTCATATCTTAGTTAATTCCTCTACGCTTTGCACCATGCTAAATCTTAGAGTACATAACCTCAGCGTTTTTCAATTCGCATGTAAAAATTTTACCATTCAGATGAACACAACAAATGCTAATGTCGAAAGTAGTCGGAATAAATGAATATGTATGTACACAGTAATTTTCTCTCTGCCTTTAATAACGACACAAAGAAGCTGGTCTGGGAATATGAAATGATCCAAATGAAATTAAGTAGACAAAAATTGTATAAATTATTCAACGAAACATGTCTCAATATATATTTATATATATATATATATATGTGTGTGTGTGTGTGTGTGTGTGTGTGTGTGTGTGTGTGTGTGTGTTTTATTTTTGTTGTAATTTTTAATTTTCGCATTAGTTGCTATCTGGATTAAAATTCTGGATAATCTGTCCAAAGTTTACTCTTTGTTCTATTTTTTTTTTTTTTTTTAAATTTTCGACATTTTAGACATGCGGTCATTTTGGACAAATCTGATGTTGTCAGTGTCGTGGACAATTTTACATAAGACGTCAATTTGGATAATTTGAAACACAGCGTTCAGAAAAATGCCAGCGGGGACAAAGAAAACATCTTCTCTGCCATACGGACAACACCCAGTTCATGACAATTACCAAGACAGTCGAAAGAACAAATATGAACCTCGGACAATTTACACACAATTTTGAATCCCATCTACAAGGTTTTAATCGAAAATTGGAAGAATGCAATAAAAATTCAAGGGGCCTTATCATTATGTCGGATCTAATCCATATTTAATATCTTTGATCCGAAATCACATATATCATTTGTATATATATATATATATATATATATATATATATATATATATATAAAAATTATTTAATTAAAGTTAGAAAACAGATAACATTAAGGGCCCATTGATTATATTTTATTTCCCCAGGCAGTTGTTTTTTTCCTGGTTCTTCAGGTCACACTTCCAAGCATAAAAACCTAACTACACACACACACACACACACACACACACACACATATATATATATATATATATATATTACCTAATTATATATATATATATATATATATATATATATATATAGGATAAGTGAAAATAGGAAACGTTTATAAATCTAACATGTTTCATTTGTAAAGCTTCATCAAAAAATGAAATATGAAGAAGAGAAAAGAAAATTCTGGTATTTTAATATATATATATATATATATATATGTGAATATAAAAGTCAACAAAGAGCAGTTACAGCCTGTTTTACGCTTATACGCAATCGTCTGAAGTCAACACCTAGCGGCGATAATCTCTGGTCATAAGGAGTGGGTGTAAAGTGAAAACAACGATGAAAAGGAGAAATAACCACATCTTATGCGTACGCACATGCGCAAAGTCGGGCGCATGGCCGCGCGCGCGATCGCACACGCGCGCACATACACTGAAAGAAAAAAAGAAAAAAACTTGGATCAATGAAAAGTGCATATAAAAAAATAAAAATCAAGAAGTATAAGTAGTCAATTGATGATACCCCTGATGAGTGGACGGAGTGATTCCTAGAGAGTCCGTCTACGAAACTCTGGAGTTGGGATGCTGAAAGTGATATCAATCAGCTAAGTGACAAAACTTTGACTCATATTAATTATATATATATATATATATATATATATATATATGGTGCAATGGATAATTTGTCTTTTAAATTACGCAAAACTGAAAATGACATTGACATCTCAATTTACCAGATATATTTACCATAATTCCATAAAAATATACTGAAATTCTAAAGAGTAAGTGTATTCAATGAAATCGCCATTAGCTTCAACCACGGCTTCCACACACACATACACACATATACCAATATATTTTACTGAGCGTGAGAGGTTTGTTCATATAAACGTTATGTATCGAGGAATTTAAAATTTTAAAAATTTTTGAGTTTGGCATTTTAATTTTTCCTTTCTTTTTCTCTTTTATCATTTGGTTCGACTTCCTCATCTTTGTCTCTTCGACGTCGTCTCATTTTTTTTTTCCAAAATTTTCTAATTTCGAATTCTTTATTTATTTTTACCCCCTTTCTTTTTCTTTTTTCTTTTTCTTTTTTCTCTTTCTTCTTTATTCTTCTTCCTCTTTTTCTTTTTTTATTCTTCTTCTCTTTCTTATTTTCTTCTATTATTATCTTTTCTAATTTTTAGTGCTCATTACTTTTCCCTTCTACACATTTTCTTGCTTTTTTCTCGTCTTTTTTCTTTTCTTTCATCTTTCCTTTCCCTCTTCTTTTACCTACTTCCCGTCCATCTTTTTCTGTGAGCTTCTCTCCTTTTCTCCTTCAATTTCTTTTCCTCTTTCTTCGACTTTTTTTCTCTTGTTATCTTCTCCTTCTCGCTCCTCTTTTCTTTCTTCTTATTTCATCTCGCTTTTCTCCATTCCCATTCTGCTATCGCCTCTTCCTTCTTTTCTTCTATTTCTTTTCCTGGTTTCTATCCTCCTCCTCTTCTTCTTCGTATTCCACTTCTTATACCGTTGGAGTTATTTTTTCTCGTCCCTCCGACAGGCGGCAATTCGATCAGTGCCCATCTTCTATGGTTTTCTTCTCTGCTTTGTCTATTTTGACCGTCATAAAAATGAATCTAACCCCGAGATGTAAGGAACAGATATGTTTTGTTGCAAGAAAAACAGCTTCCAATAACACGCTTACTTAAACACGTTATGGAGTATAGAGTAAATGCAAAAAATACTTGGAACAATGGAGTGAGGGTTTGGGGAAAATGGGTACGGGTTTGAGACAATGAATGTGGGGGAGAAAAAGAACGGCGGAAAAAGGAAGACTACAAAACAGAATGAAACTGGGTAGACATTAAATGCTAGTGAAAATTTCAAAGAGCCAGAAAAAGTACTAAAAAAAGAAAGAAAGAAATGTAAAAGAAATAATGTAGAAAGAAAGAAAAAAAAAAATATAGAAAGGAATAATATAGTAAGAAAAAAGAAAGAATATAAATGAAATATTGTAGAAAGAAGGAATGTAAAAGGAATACTGTAGAATGGAAGAAAGAAAGAAAGAAAGAAAGGCTTCGTGAGAGAATAATCCCAAAGGAATAATGTAGAAAGAAAGGGGGGAAAGAAAGAAAGAAACAAAGAAACAAAGAAAGAAAGGGGGGAAAGAAAGAAAGAAAGAAAGAAAGAAAGGGGGAAAGAAAGAAAGAAAGAAAGAACGGCTTCGTGAGAGAATAATCCCGAAGGAATAATGTAGAAAGAACGGCGGAAAAAGGAAGACTACAAGACAGAATGAAACTGGGTAGACATTAAATGCTAGTGAAAATTTCAAAGAGCCAGAAAAAGTACTAAAAAAAGAAAGAAAGAAATGCAAAAGAAATAATGTAGAAAGAAAGAATATAGAAAGGAATAATATAGAAAGAAAAAAGAAAGAATATAAATGAAATAATGTAGAAAGAAAGATAGAATGTAAAAGGAATAATGTAGAATGGAAGAAAGAATACAGAACGGAATAATGTAGAAAGAAAGAAAGAAAGACTGTAAACATAATAATGTAGAAAGAAAGAAAGAATGTGAAAGAACGGAAGAAAGAAAGAAAGAAAGAAATGAACAATAATTTCCTTAGAATGAAAAAATAACGAAATAAAATTCCTTAGAAAGAAAGGAATAAGAATAAGATATTTTTTTTTAAAAAAGCGAAAATAAGTAAAAATCTACTGGGAAAGAAAGAAGAAAAAGATGATCATTTCAAAAGAAAGAAAAAAAGAATTAAGTATTTTAAAAGAAAGAAAAAATAGCAGAGATATAAAAATGACAAAAGAAAAAATGCAAACGAAAGAAGGAAAATAAAAATACAAAGAAGCAACAATTCTGCAAAAAAAGAAGAAAAAGAATTAATTTAAAAAAAAAATGAATACGTAACAATGTCACAGAAAAATGAAAAAAGTAAAAGAACTGAATAAATAAATGAAAGAATATTGAAGGGACAAAAATAAAACATCTGAAATAAAGTAACAAACAAACGAATAAACTAAAGAAAAAACAAAAAAGTAATCAACTGAAATTTCAAAAAACTTAATGAAAAAAAAAGCCAGTAAAGAACAAAGAAAACAGAATGAAGAAAGGAAATACAAAACAGGAAATAAAACCAACCAAAATAAAAAAATTAAATAAAAAAAACGGGTATATAAAATAAAAAAAGAAGAACAAAAAATAATACTTTATGAATATTTTTAAAAGCAAAAATATCTTTCAGTAAGTCAAAATATAGAATCCAGACGCCGTTGCTTTCCATAAAATAATGGTTCCCCCCACTCTCTGATCACGTGACTAATTATATCGTTTGACTGCAGGTGACTAGCGGGAAATATCTTTATACTAACAGGCACCTGCGTTATAATTCGTGCTTCAAGTCGGAGAGAAAAAATATCACTGAGGTATCAGATGAACAATTTTCTTTGAACTCTTTGACCAAGTTCAATAAACATTTTTGAGAGGTTATTAGTAGTATATTTCATTTATTTTGCCTTTTTTTTTCATAGGCGTCTGTTATGCGTTCACGTATGGACAAAAAGTATTTCAGCTTGACAGGGTTTAATGGTTCCGGCCTGTAAACTTGCTGATTGACGATGAGAAGAAGAAATACTCAATTTAAATTTTTGCAATCGTATATCACTTAATCTTTAACAACATTTTTCAAGACATACATAAATTTAGTGGTTGCTCTGGCATCTGTAAGCTAGTTCCTGCTACTTTCTAGATATTGCTTCGTACATCAGTTGTATACCTTCAGGACTTTGGATCTTCACAAATTCCATGTCCTTTGTAGCACTTAATAAATGTTGTCTTTTTGTAATCTCTCCTAAACGTTGCCCCACCATCCATTTACTCAAGCTCGCTTGGTACGTCATGCGCTGTTTTCTTCTATCCTTCTTGTCTTTCATCTGCCCTGTGGGTATCAAATTTTCCAAGCCGTTTTTCCTCATTGTGTGCCCTAGAAATTTCAACTGTCTCTTCTTGATGTTCAGTATAAATGTCCTTTTTGTTTCCATTTTCTCTAAAGTTTTGTTGATGTTCACATGTTCAGTCCATAGTATTCTCGGCATCCTTCTCTAGTAACACATTTCGGCTGCTTCTAGTCTCTTCTTCATCTGTGAGGAGATTATCCAGCATTCACTGTCATATTGGAGAACTGCTATTACATAACGGTTCTATACTTTTTTCTTTGTTTTTTAATGGAATTTTCCTGTTTCTTAATACTTTGCTTAGCTTTTGGAAGCCATCTTTTGCTATCACAATGCCCCTTCAGATTATGTTGTTGGTTTTTCTGTCTTCTGTTAAAATAGTTTCCAGATAGTTAAATTTTTCAACTTTCTTGATTTTGGTATCTCCAATTTGTAACTTGCATGTTGGACTGTTCCATTTGCTAACGACCAACATTACAAGAATAAATTAATTAGAGTAAAAATGACCTAATAAAAATTATTCCCTAGCATGGATTATAGAATGAGAAAAACTGGATAAAGTGTCTCAAGAGATTCTGTAGAATTGTAGAAAATACAGTTACTAAAATACTATGACTATACCAGCTACTGACATTGGACTGATTAGATTGATGCATTATTTTTTTTATGAGAACTTTTATTTCTTCAAACATTATTATCATACATACTCTCTATTTGAAATAGATACGACATATTTATTTATTAAACGGTTGGTGACCTGCAGGGGGACTAATATTGCGTTACATTTCAGTACTCATTTCTTTGTTTCCAGCGAAATATTCCTGTTTCTTAATATTACGTTTAACTTTTGGAAGGCATCTTTCGCTATTCCAATGCGTCTTCGGATTTCGTGGATACCGAAGAATCCACACCTGCAATTCTTTTATTCTTGTTTCTTAATATTTATATAGCTTTTGGAAGAGATCTTTCGCTATTCAAATGCGCCTTCGGATTTCGTGGATGCCGAAGAATTCACGCCTGCGATTCTTTTATTCTTGTTTCTTAATCTTTTGTTTAGCTTTTGGAAGGCATCTTTCGCTATTCCAATGCGCTTTCGGATTTCAGTGTCACACTTTAAAAGGTCCCAAAACTGAGTATTGTACTTCGCGTTTCCCCTCTCATCAAAGTTCCAACCAAGATGGACGTTGGTTTCTTTTGCTGATCTGACAAAAAGTAATGCTTACTTGACCTTCAACCAGTGCGGCACTACTTCTGAGAATACAGAACAAGGAAGAACTGGTAATACTAAACCCTTGGGTAAGATCAGCACTGGTCAAGACTAGCAGAAAGTAAGTAACAGGATCAGAATGGATAGTAACAAGACATGCTCTCTACCTTAGACGATTATTGAAATAATAAATAAAATAAGCTATAGTGGCGAAATGTCGGAAGACCTTAGTAAATCCATTTTAATTGCTATACCCGAGAAGCCAGATGCAAATGAATGCGGTGTCAAACAATTAGAATCAAGCCGAGCTTCTCGACTTGACGGTCGAACTTTCTGCCTCTGAGCAGAAAGGAACCCGGACGAGGTTCCGCCGAAGGGCAGAATCTCGTTCGGGGAGAAATGACCAACCCGATCTCGTTTATACGGGTTATACGGGCATTTTTGGCCGAGCCTACGGGCTCGGGAAACCCACGATAAACTCGGCCTTGTGCCACATGCAACCCTCGTTGGGGGTGGGGGTGGCTAGATACCAAACTGTGTCAAACAATTAGCTTAATGGTCCATATAACGAAGCTTATAGTTCGGATTCGGATGAACAGAGCTCGTAGAAGATTTCAACCATAAATAGGGCAAGGATACTGCATTTGTTTAAAACACTGGAACAAGAAATGCTATCTTTATAAGAATGCTCTCAGAGTGAACAATACAAATGCAAAAAGTTATATATCTATGTTTCATAGATTACACAAAAGCATTTGCTAAGGTGCGACGCAAAGATCTGTTTGAACTGCTAAGAAAATTTGCTTTATTTGTGTTGGAAGGAAAACAAGTTGATCATAATATACAAATAATAGAAAATGGCATAAGACAAAACTGTCTCCTCAATGAATTTATTCAACCTATATGGCGAGAAGATCATAAGATAACTAAAAGAGCGGCCAGGATTTATTATCGGCGAATATAAATTTAAAAAGACACGCAGATGACACTTTATTGATAACAAACTCAGAAAGAAAACTGCAAGAATTCCTCGACAAAGTAATAAAGGAAAGCGCGAAAAAAATACTAACTTTTAACTGCAATAATGTATAATATATGCTGGTTAGCAAGAGAGACTACCCCAGGTGTGAATTGAGGACATCAAAATCAAGCAGGTAATGAAATTTAATTATCCGGATAGTGCCGTAACAGGTGCATAAAAATGAAAAAGATACCTTACAGATTACAATGAAAAGATACCTTAATATTTTGTTTAGCTTTTGGAAAGTATTAGCAGAGTATTAAAAAATGTAATATTTTTATAAACAAATGAAAGAGTGCTGAAATGTTATGTAATATCTATTCTCTCATATATTAGTGAATGCGAGACAATTTCCTCACAGATGAAGAGGAGACTTAAGGTAAAAGAAATGTGGTTCTACAGAAGGATGCTGAGAATACCATGAACTGAACGTTGTGAGTAACTACGAAGTTTTAGAGAAAATGGAAACGAAAAGGACACATATACTTAGAATCAAACAGACACATGAATGTACTTAGGCGACAGAGAAATGATTATACAGAAGGACTGAAAATACTTTGGATGGAACATGTGAGCAGTGAGGAAGTTTTAATGATAATGGGAACATTATAAGTCTTATAAGTTTTGAAAAGGTGAAAGTTTTGGAACACGTATTGGGAAGGTGGGTTTAGGTACTGAAAACAAGAGAGACCGAAAAGGGAAGCCTACTAAATGAGTTTGTGTAAATAAATGACAGAGTAGGGGCTAATTTCTTGAACAACCAATTTAAGAAACCGATAATGCGAGTAAAGTCAAATACGGCTCCTTTTTGCAGTACGCGTCGGGGTGGGCTGGCTAGTAAGCAAAATGGAGCTTAATATCCTCCCTCCTGCCAGTTTGATTAGGAAATGTAATGAATCCTGACTCCCAAGTACTTTGAACTGTCATGCCCAGTTAAAGATTCATTCTTCCATCTCCAGTTTGTTTGCCGAGCATCATCGTATATCTCTTCACGTTCTAGCAGTTCCGAACCAAAGCATTTATACAGTACACTGGTCTAAATTGTTTCATACATCTGCGTATGCTAGGGCAGGAGTATGCCTTAAATAGGCAACTCGCCATTTTCGTGACCAATATTTTTCTCAAAATATAATAAGTTTAATAAATTTTCCCACGCCTCTTTCATACTTTTGCAGAAGTAGTGAGCTAGATCTCCCCAACAAGTGCCAACAGGTAGTCATTCAATTGTAAGATCAGTGAAGTCTGTGCCCGTTTCTCGGGATAGAAGATGACTCGATGTTGATGCTTAAGAACGTGTCTTGCATTAACTGATGCAGTAACTGCATTTTAGCCTTGCATTTCTAATTTTAAAAATTACTCATAAATTTTTTTTTTAAAGATCTACTAAACAAATGATTGATTGATATGTTTTTTACGGCTTATCAACCTTTACAATGCTATCTAATGATTTATTTAAATTGTAAGATTTTGGAGACAATAATGATTTTCTGATACAAGCCTTACTATTTAACTCATAGCTGGGATGAAAAGTGTCGGATTCTTACCTTTCAAAAGAATATATGTATGCAAATGAATATAACGAACTTGACTGGAATTCGAACCCTGCTCTCTAACTTCTCGTTCCGAACCTTTATCCATTACACTAACCGTACATCAAAGCTTACAGCACCTGGTATTTTCAGGTTGAAATACCGGAGAAATCTTGCTTGCTTGCCTACCCAAATCTCTTTTCTCTCTCCCCCTTATCTCTCTTTCACAGTTCCTCTCGCAAAAAAATAAAATAAAATAAAACGGATTTAACTTGGATT